GCGTCGTGCCTCGTCCTAAGGTCTCCGTCGTGCATAGACGAAGATCCCATGGGGACAACATTCCTCCTATTCGCGTCCTGTTGTGGTCGAGGGGGCGCATCCCTGTTATTCACAGCTTGCGCTGCAGCCTTCTCCCGCGCTCTCCTCCGTGCCGCTCGTTGCATTCTCCCCACAGACCTGTTTGACTTGGTCGGGCGAGGATCGTTGGCTTGACTATCACCGATCTCCTCGGTGTCACCGCGTTGGTCACCAATCCCTTGGTCCCCAACGGCGGCGTTCATCGGCGCATCCTCCAACGGTGGCATTGAGTTTTGCCCTTGATCCCGCCCAGCAAGGGTCGTAGCCATCCTTTCTATGACTGCGGCCAGCGTTTTGACCTGTTTTGAAGCTGGTCGATGTGGTATGGGGGATTCACAGCGGCTGGTGGGAGTGGGTTCATCGAGGTCCCCGCAGCGGTGGGATTTTGGCTTACCTGGCTCCTCTGGTCGGCCGTCAGCAAGCGTGCGTTCCTGGGAGGCATAGTTGATGTTTCCTTTTTGTTAAAAACTGGATTAGATTTCTGAGCTTAAGGCCCTCCTTCTAGCGCCAGTTATTGACGGTGTTTTTCCGACAACTCGTAATTACCTCTCTAAAAACACTCGCGGTTCAATTAAAGATAAAAACTGAAAAATAATGTAAGGAGACAGTTGTTTTATAGTGGTTCGGCAATAACTCATTGCCTAATCCACTTGTGTATGCACTAATATTTCAGCCGATTATAAGCTTTCTCTTAGTAATGAAATGGTGTCTAACCCTTTTCTGGGTTCTTTTGGCTCTATTTATAGGCATTTACACGTGACTAAGCCTTCTCCGTTCCCAAGGAGGAAGCCATCTTCCATCCTCGATATGCGGAAGGGTAGGTGAGTTTTCATGATGACAATCTCAAGAAATACGGCTGACCCCTCTCATTTGCCGCACGATCTACTGACTCCTGCAGTCGCCGTTGGATCGATGCTTCCTTCCCCGAGTTGACAAGACCGTTGACGGGTTTGACTCGGCAGGATGCCTCAACACAGTGGCTCTCAGATGTCGAGTCACTATCCTCGACGCCTCTCTCCACGTGTGATCTCTCGACGCAAAGGGCACCTTAGCTACAGCCGCTCCCTCGATGCCAGCGACAGATTCCCAACGGGGAGTCCTCGGTGCCTGGCGTCGAGAGAATGGTTGATTCCTCGACCATGGCGTAACAAAAATAAAAAATAAAACACACTGAAATGAAGCTTGGTTTGGCCTCCTAAAAACTCGGGCTCAGCTTGAATTACGTACCCTTTGACTGAAGTGGCCGTACCCAAATATACTGGCTTAACTTGAGTGTAATTCCCTCGGTCATAACAATGTAAGAATTTAAACTTATACACTTTAAAAGATATTTATCTATTTATCTCCTTAACAAAGTGTTGATGAAGCTTATAATGTACAAGAAAAGGAAGCAGTTTATAGTGCCACGGTTGAGTGTTATATATTATACATCACAAAATTAAACTTTATTAATTATTAGTCCTTGTTTAGTTTGTTGATTCGAGTTTTCAATTTGAGTTAAAATGTGATTTTATGTGAGTTTTTTGTACTGTAGCAGAAAAAGTTAAATGTGACTTTTTGTGAGAACTTGTAACTGTAACAAAATTAAAATTAAAAACTTGAACTAATAAAATGAACGAAGACTTAGTGTACTTATGGGACACCCAGATCACAAACCTTGCAGTTGTTACGTTTATATTCTTTGCTTAGACATTAGGGTGTATTTATCCAATAGAATATACAATGAGTTAAAAAAAAGTACATAAATAGAAGTAAACTTAGGAATTTCTAAATATTTTTAGTTAAATTAATGGGAAATAGTAGAAAATAGGCCAATTTGAAAAGCTTAAGAAAGTATATAGGCCAATTTTTAATTATAAAAATTAATAGGCCATAATTTATCAAGTTATGGTTCATAACTATATAAGTTATGACCAAACTTGTCAAGTTATGGTTCATAGTCAGACAAGTTATGGACAATTATGTATAATAACTTGACAAGTTATGGTTCATAACTAGACAAGTTATTGACGAAAACAGTAATTTAGCCTATTTATTAACTTATGTAAACTATTGGCCTATTAATTTTAATTCATCTCAAGTCTTGACATATTTTCTTCTTTCTCCCTGAATTAATGAGATACCTTTGTATATAATTAAATAATCGTTGTTAGAAGTAAAGTAAACATGCCCTAGATATGAATTAAGCATCTTAAAGAATTCAAGAGTCGGAATATTTTCAAGGGATAATTCAATTTAATATGGTAACTTTGCATCCACAGATCCTATTTAATTGGCAATCCACAGATGCATAAATCGTAGAATCATTTTTTAGACTGATGGCATTCAGTTATGTAATTTCTTATAGAGACAGTCTTTTCTTTCTCGAATACTCAGAAGTATTAATAGTTGTGCAAAATTAATATAAATTAATTGCAAAAATGATAAATGTCCGTCGTTACTCGCTAGCTGTTGGAGTCGATTTCTGTCTTGACTCCAAATCAACTACTTCACTCTCTCTCTCACTAAAACTCTCTCTTTCTCTCTCTAGCTTAACAGGAAGTCTCAGTGGATGAAACAGCGAAAAAGGATCCATTTGCTCATGATTCTTCTCCTATTTATAGATTTTTGGATCCCTGCGCTTTGGACTTTACTTCATGTCGTTGATTCACGTCATTCTGATTTTCTTACTTCGCTTCTCGGGATTCACTAGATTACTTCCGAATCTGCTTCTTCATAACCGTCTATTTAATATTTCAAATGCCGTCGTTTTTCCTTTTCTCAAACGTCACCGTTTTGCGTTCTCAATAACTAAACCCCACACTAGCTAAAATCCCCATCAAGTCAATGGCTTAGTTTGTAGAGATTTTGGGAAGCCCAAATTTTCTTTTTTTCAGCTGAAACTAAAAAGTGTGTTTGATAAACACATAAAAACGGATTCTTAGAGAATCTAAAAGTTATTTTTAAGCTGAAATTAAAAGCAGCTCACTTGCTGCTTCTAATTTCAGATTATACGAGAATCTGAAGCCTTTCATTAATAAAATTTTGATTATTCCTAAAATAACCTAATATATATAGCAGTTTATTCCCCTTTTCTTTGCTGAAAAGTATATTTGTTCATGAGAACTCGTTTTATTGAGCTAAATGTAGAATATTATTGTCGACCAAAAAAATGTAGAATATTACCGTCTACTGATAAATTTGATGATGTTCAAATGGCCGACAGTAGTATAGACAGGTGGCATAAAAATGCACATGTTTTCTCAGATTGTACAGATTCAGATAAAACGCAATTATGTAAATTTGGTAGTGAAAATTGACCTAATGAATTTCCCATATAGACTTCATGAAAAACGACACTTATGATCAAATAGCTAGAGGCTTGTCTATAAGGGAACTTTATACATTTGAACAAAAGCTTGTGGATTTTTCCAACGCAAAATGTGTTGTGCCAAAAAGAAGCACCGCAAAAACCGTCTCATAGGATACAACGACAATGACGGTAGAACGAAGCACTATCATAATCGTCTCGGCGAACTAGAACTGCACATTCCCTCTATCACCAAAAACCGACTACAAAGACTGAAAAAAGAACTCAAAAGAACCGAGAGAGAAGAGTTTGTGTTCTGGTGGTGTGTGTTTCTTTCATGTGGAAAACACCTTATATAGGTTCTTGAGAAAGAGGTTACAAGACGTGGAATTATAGGATTTAAACACGTACCATAATGGAGCAAAAATTGTTAACTCTTGCAAGGATGAATCCGACCACATTTCCTCACCAAGATT